TAGGTCAAATATGTAGCTATATCATCACAAGTTGAGAATACATATAATATAGTACGATACTACTCCTGAAAGGGAAAAATACTATACGTATGGAGTTCACATGTATGTATAATATGTCAGTTTGAATACATATATAGTATGATACCATTCCTGGAATGGAAAAGTACTATACATATGGAGTTCACATGTATGTAAGTATTAACACAGATGGAGCTCCGCAGGGTAGTACACAGCTACAATCTCAGCTAGAAAGGATGAGAGGAGAGAATCATAAATTTGAGGACTGGCTACTTAGTGATACTCTATCTCAAAACAAAATATTAAAATTTTTTTAAAAGACTAGAGCTGAAGTCTATTGGTAAAGTATCCCTGTACCACAAAAAAATAAAACTTAGATGGAGCTACTCAGGAAGCTGAGGCATGAGAATCACAAGCTCAAGGCCAGCCTGGAATACTTAGTGAGATCCTATCTCAAAATGAAAATTAAAAAGGGCTGGGGATGTAGCTCATTGGTAAAGTGCCCCTGGGTTCAATTCCCAGTTGGGGGGACACGGGCACGGGGACACGGCCAAATTTTCCCTCAGTCCCACCTAACTACTTTCAATCTAATCCTCCAACCTTTTTGCCTCTTTCTTTATAAACAACCAATCTAATCCTCCAACCTCTACTCTCTCCAATGCACTATTATAAGACTTCTGCCCAAACCAGAGAACTATAATTGCCGTCTCAAGAACTTCTTAATCCTCTGTATGGTAACTCTGTTACTATCAATTACTATTTCCTGAAAACCAAATTGTCTGTTCTCTTGCTCTCCCAAATGTGGATTTTTCACCATAGTTCTGTCTTCATTTTTACCAAAAATGTCATTTGGTTCCCAATTCCCTCTACACAATTCCAACTCTAACTTCACTCCATTAACTTTATTCTAAATTTCCAATAAAACATCCTAACAGTTCTGGACATGCAGGCATATGCCTGTAATTCCTGCTTCTCAGGAGGCTGAAGCAGGAGAATTGCAACTTTCAAGGTCAGCCTGAGCAATTTAGGAAGACCCTGTCTCAAAAACAAATTTTTTAAAAGGGATCGAGATGTAGCTCAGTAGTAGAACACTTGACTAGCATGCACCAGATCCTCTATTCAATCCCTAGTACTGGGAAAAAAAAATCATAGCAGTATATAAACTAACATGCCCCAAACAGATTTGTCCTTAATGCTTCATTTGCTCTCTTCTATTTGCTCATTTTTCTCTATTACTATTACTCTGGATGCTGTCTGGTTTTGTTTGTTTATGTTTATTTGTTTATTTATGTATGTATGTATTCTTTGGTGGAGAGGACTGAATCCAGGATATACCACATAATAAACACACTCTACCACTAAGCTACTCTCTCAGTCCTAACTCCTATTAATGGTATCACCATTTCAGAGTGATCAGCCTTGATATCTTTTTTGAGGGACAAGGGATTACTGGGTATTGAACTCAGGGGCACTCAACCACTGAGCCACATCCCCAGCCCTATTCTGTATTTTATTTAGAGACAGGGTCTCACTGAGTTGCTTAGCACCTCTCCATTGGTGAGGCTGGCTTTGAACCCATGATGATCCTGCTCCTGCCTCAGGCTCCCAAACCATGGGATTATAGGCATGTGCCACTATGCCCAGCTAGCCTTGATATCTTCAAATCACCTTTAACTGTTCCCTTTTAGTGTTTTATTACAAGTTCAAGGTCAGCCTGATTAACTTAGTGGGAGCCTGTCTCAAAAGAAAGGAGAAAAAAAAAGGGGGGGGGGGGCTGGGAATATAATTAGTGGTAAAGCACCCCTGAGTTCAAAAAAAAGAAGGAAGCAAGCACACAGATGAAAGTTGAAATAAAATTAAGACTAATTCAATTCCCTTTCTGGTTCATGGACATATTTCCATGTTAGAGTTTTTGGTTCCTGTATTTCTGTCATTTCATGTTTCAAAATTCTCCCTCTATTTCTATATTTCTATTCTCAATCTTTCTATTCCTACATCTTTTTTTGGGGGGGGAGGGGGGAGAGACTCAGAATTGAACCCAGGAGAGCTTTACCACTGAGCTACATCCATAGCCCTTTTTATTTTTCATTTTGAGATAGGGTCTCACTAAGTTGCTGAAGCTAACCTTGAATTTGCAATCCTCTCAAGCTGCTTGCCCAGCTCTACTGCAATCTTTATGGTCATTACCTCAAATCCTCCTCTTTCGGTTTCTAATCTCGCCTTTCAAATCCATCCTCTATACTACTAATCTACTCTTTTGAAAAGGCTGCTTTATCTTTCTGGATCATTACTGTTCCAGAATGAACAGCCAGTTCATTTCTCAGAGATCTCTTTACTGTTTCTGTCCAACTTGACCCTACTCTCAGATCAGGGCTAAAAGGTCCAGAGCTAAGTACCTCACTCCACCCAAACCATTCTTTTCCCTAAAAGAACATGAAATTGGGACTGACATTTCGTCTCTTGAAACATGAAACAGAAAATATCAGGAGGTGCCAAGCACAGTAGCACATGCCTGTAATCCCAGTGGCTTGGGAGGCTGAGACAGGAGGAACACAAGTTCAAAGACAGCCTCAGCAACTTAGCAAGGCCTTAAGAAACTCAGCAAGATCCTCTCTCTAAATAAAATATTAAAAAGAGCTGGGAATGTGGCTCAGTGGTTAAGTGACCCTGGGTTCAATCCTCACTACCAATACCTGCCCCCACAAAAAAAACCCTCAAGAGATTTGATATGATGATCATATGAGCTAATTGATATAAAACATTTCAGCACAGTATCTAGCACATAATAATCACTCAAATAGTTAACTACTGATTCTTGGGAGTAAATAACTGAGAAATCTTCAAAGAAAGAGAAAGAAGCAGGGCTGGGGTTATAGTTCAGTGGTACATTGCTCGCATACCACGTGCAAAGCCCTGGGTTTGATCCTCAACACCACATAAAAATAAATAAGTAAATAAAGATATTGTGTCCAACTACAACTAAAAAATGAAATATTAAAAAAATGGGGGGGCTGGGGATGTGGCTCAAGCGGTAACGCGCTCGCCTGGCATGCACGGGGCGCTGGGTTCAATCCTCAGCACTACATAAAAATAAAGATGTTGTGTCCACCGAAAACTGAAAAAAAATTATTAAAAAAAAAAGAAGGAAGCAAGCAAACAGATGAAAATTGAAATATAATTAAGACTAATTCAATTCCCTTTATGGTTCATGGACATATTGCCATGTTAGAGTTTTCGTTCCTGTATCCTTCAAATAAAATGCCCTTTCTTTGCTTCTATAGTCTTAGAATGAGATTCTGAATCTTACAAAGGACCCTAACTTTTATAGTTGTACACTAAAGAATTTAGAGGAGGGGCTGGGGCTGTGGCCCAGCGGTAGCACACTTGCCTGGCATGTGTGATGCACTGGGTTCGATTCTCAGCACCACGTATAAATAAATAGATAAATAAGATAATCAACAATTTAAAAAATCTAAAAAAAAAAGAATTTAGAGATTGTTCCTCTTCTTTGAAACCTTTAATAGCCCTTACATCTCATCAAATGAAGTTGAAATAAAACATACCCCGCAATGTACCTCTCAATATTCCTTTTTCAGTAACTACCTTATTTACCTTGACACCTTGATCACATTCATAGAGAATAAAGGAATAAAAACAAACAAGTGGTATTTAAGAAACTCTACCACAGTCCTAGGTATGTATCACTTTGTCCTCTCTTCTGATGCCTACCTTTCTCTTTTTTTTTTTTTTTTTCTTGGTGTTGGAGATCGAACCCAGGGCCTTCTGCATCACCTATTTTCGAATCTTTTCTGGCCTTTAATCTACTGTGACACCCCCTAGAAAAATCTCACTTATCAGTATTTACTGATAAAGCATGAAATTATTTTGCTTGGGGACCTATCTACTCCAAACCATAACATGCTACAAAAAAAACAAAAAATTAAAGAGTAAACCTATACATACCTAAAATTATTATGGTTGATTAAATCCTCCATTTGCTAAAAATCCCATTATTTTAACACTATACAATAGCTATAATTCTGCTGTAATGCATTCTCATACACAACCAAAGAATATCAACTACGAAAATACTGCTGAGGCTCACAATCTGGCTTCTAGGCCATAATTCTACTGACCCAAAATGATGCTGGCAAAAATAGTAACTTTAACTTTTGCTATTTGCATAAAGAAGAGAAGTGAAAATGTTTGTTTTCTACCTTCTATCAAATTCTGTAATCAGTAATGAAAGGAACTATCACACTGCAAACTTTTTTATGACTAATGAAGATTGGCCACCAAGAATAAACAAACCTTACTCATTCTTATGGAGGTTTACAAAGTGTTCAGAAAGAAGGTAGCCAGGCAAGAAAAGAAGAAAGGCCCTTATGTTGTTCTGTCAAAAGGAATGAATGTATGAAAATACGAGAGTTTAAAAATCTATTAATTCACATACAAGAATTAGGGTAGTGGATAAATTTCGGCATTTTCCTCCCCCGTCAGAAAAAATATCAATATAACTTGGTCATGCTTCTACTGACACTCATATTCCATGATTACCAATGTTTCCTTCAAACCACTTCAGGTTTCTTGATTCCATAGTTAAAATAGGCTGAATATGACTATTTATATCTTTATTTTTTTCAAAGTATCCATCAACATACACTTATTTAGTTCGATTTGTTTTTCAGATTTTACAAAATCTGTTTAAAACTCCAAGTCAAGGGGCTGAGGCTGTAGCTCAGTGGCAGAGCACTTGCCTAGCATGTGTGAGGCACTGGGTTCGATCCTTAGTATCATATAAAAATAAAGAAAAGCATTCTGTCCATCTACAACTACAAATAAATAAAACTCCAAATCAATATTTGGTCCAAGTTCTGTTAAGTTATAATATTTGAACAAAAGACTGATAATCTTCAAACTGCAACAAAAGTGTGGTATCCTAAGCTCCTAAGTATTTTAATGTTTCTGATAACAGTCCTTACCACTCTGGCTGCTCTCTCTTGAGATTCACATTTCCTGCAAAACCATGGTCCAGTGGGTACTTGAACAATGCCATAGCAAGCTGTTGGGAAACAAAATGTTTTGAAACATTCAAACTTGAAAAATCAAATAACCTTTTCAAAGCTCTATTAAACCAACTACCTTCAAACTATTCATTAATGGCTTTACAGAGAATTACAATACTTACATCTTATTTACCATACGTATATAGCTGTTTAACTAAAAACTAAATTTGTATAACAAAAATGCTATACCTCATATGGTCATAGTAGCACACTCTAATCCCAACTTCTCTCTTTTTTTTTTTTTTTTTTTTTTTTTTGTATTTTGGCAGGTACCAGGGATTGAACTCAGAGACACTCGACCCCTGAGTAACATCCCAAGCCCTATTTTGTATTTTACTTAGAGACAGGGTCTCACAGAGTTGCTTAGCACTTTGCTTTTGTGAGACTGGCTTTGAACTTGCCATTCACCTGCCTCAGCCTCCAAAACCATGGAGATTATAGGCATGCGCCACCATGCCTAACTATCCCTGCTACTTTTGAGGCTAAGGCAAGAGGATGGCAAGTTTGAGGACAGCCTGGGCAACTTAGCAAGACTCTGTCTCAAAATTGCTTTGTTTTGTTTTGGTACTGCGTATGGAACCCAGAAGCACTTAATCACTGAGCCACATCCCCAGCCCTTTTTTATATTTTATTTAGAGACAGGTCTTGCTGAGTTACTTAGGGCCTCAACAAATTACTGAGGCTGGCTTTGAACTCATGATCCTCCTGCCACAGCCTCGAGCCCCTGGGATTACAGACATGCGCCACTGCACCTGGCTCAAAATGGTTTTTATAAAGGGCCAGGAAGGTAGTGAAACAATGAAGCAGTTGCCTAGCATGTTGAAGGTCCAGGCTTCATTCCCCACAGGCACACAAAAAAATTTTTTTTTCCTTTGGGGTACTGAGGATTGAACTAAGGGGATCTCAACCACAGAGCCACATCCCTAGCCCTATTTTGTATTTTATTTAGAAACAGGTCTCACTGAATTGCTTAGCACCTCATTTTTGCTGAGGCTGGCTTTGAGCTTGTGATCTTCCTGCCTCATCCTCCCAAGTGGCAGGGATTACAAAGGTACACCACTGTGCCTAGCTATAATTTTTTTTAAATCATACTATAACAAGCAATTATGTAAAATTTAATACACTGTAAGATTTTTTTGCATAAAATAACTCAGAAATACATTAATTCATTCCTATGCCCTATAGTTTAAGGAGAAAGTGTTTTAGATTTAGTGAAAATATTTCCAAATAATCTTTCAAAATGAACAGATATTGAAAAAAAAAATGAAATATAATGTTAGCAGTAAAATGCCACCAGGCAGGGTGGAGCATGCCTTTAAATCCCAGTGACTCCGGAAGCTGAGACAGGAAGATTTCAAGTTCAAAGCCAGCCTCAGCAACTTGGCAAGAACCTGTCTCCAAATAAAAACTAAAAAAAGAGCAACAGTGAGAGAATAGCAGTAAAATGCTTCCATTTATATTCAATGTCTCAAATAGGCAAATCCATAAACAGCCTAGGGCTCTGGGAGTTGGGGGTAAATGGTGACTGTTAACAGGTCCAAGGTTTCTTGTTAGGGCAAGGAAAAGGATCTAAAACTGATAGTAGTAATGGCTGCACAACTCTGTGAATATAGTGAAAAACCACTGAATGGGTAAATTGTATGGCATGTGAATTATCTCTTGGTAAAGCTATTACAAGAAAATAAAATTGCTATATTTATCTCTAAATATTTTATATTGTGAACACTGTAACAAGTATTCCAAGTACATATTATATATCTAATTCACAGCCTCATTGGTTGAAAGTTAGTTTTTAATATCAATTAGCTCAAAACTGAAAACTTTCTGGAAATCTAATACACATTCAATTGACATTCTTGAGTTTGCTCACTAGAAACTCGAAAATATTTTAAATACTGGGAAGCAATAAAGGAATGTAAAATCAGCACCACCTTTATTTGGTACTGGGGACTGATCCCAAGGGCACTCTACCTCTGAACTACACCCCCAGCCCATTCATTCATTCATTTATTATTTTGAGTGTCAGGGATTGAACCCAGGGGCACTTCAAAACTGAGCCTCATCCCCAGGCCTTCATACATATTTTTCAACTTAGATTCAGGGTCTGACTAAGTTGCTGAGGCTGGCCTTGAATTGGCAATCCTCTACCTCAGCCTCCCCAGCCTCTGGGATTACAGGTGTGCAGCATTGAGCCTGCTATTTTTTTTTTTTCTAGATAGGTTTCCTAAATTGCTGATGTTGTCCTTGAACTTGTGATCTTCCTGCCTCAGTTTCCCAAACTGTTGGGATTACAGGAATACACTACCCACACCACTTCAGCAAACTTTTAAACTCCAAAGGCTAAAATTCTAAGCCTTTTTCAATATATATATGAATGTTAAAAAAAAAAAAAAAAAAAAGTCTATTGGCCAAGAAACACAGCATCAGTGTCTGAAACACACAGTTTTATTTGGAAGTAGCTCTAGAAAGAAAAATTTTTTAATCTTTAACTTTTTATATTAAAACATTTTAATATTTTCATATTAAAATACTTAATTTGATAATTTTTCATCTGATTTATAATTCCCCCACAATGCCAGTGAACCCTGTAATAGAAATATTATATATCAATCCTAAAACCTTATCTAGCTTTCCACAATTTTTTCACTCCTTTTAAGAAAGGAGGGGGGAAGGTATGCAACGCTGCCCTTCTTTAAAAGAAACTGGCAATAACCACATTCTCAGGTTAATTTACTATCTCAAAATCATTACCACTGCATCCCTCTTCCCAATTGTGATAATCCATTCTTCAAATAATGCACTTTGACACCTTAAGATTTTCCTCTCCCCCCTTTGGTAATGTCCTTACCAATATGCTATTAGACAACATCTGCAGCACTCAAAGCCAGTTTCATAAATGGGAAAAGGGGTGGGGGGGTGAGATGGCAAATAAACAGTAAGCCACCAAAAAGTCAGATTATCTCAGCCTCAATTCCTTACCACTTGGAACAGAAAAAGGTCAAAAAACTTCAGAAAACCAGAAAAATCTTATTGGCTTTTTTATATATCCAAGTGTAAATAGCCAGAAATAAACTAAGACGTTCCCCAAGCCACTTGGCAGCACCACCACCTCCTCTTCATTTACGCAGGTTAAGCAGTGGCCAAATGCAGCCACTAACTAGCCTCCCCACCAAACTAGCCCAAATGCATCTCAGCCCCAGACACTCCTGGCAGCGACATCACTGGCCTTGCGCTGTCTTCTCCGCAGGAAGCTACCAGGAGGCGTGAGCTGCCAGAAAGCTTGGGGTACAGCAGAGACCACCTTCGATCCCCGATCCAAAGAGGCAAGGTCACCCCTGCCTTCCCCCACCTGCCCAGCGCAGCCAGCCGCCTTCCAGAGTCGGTCTGCAAGCCACAGGAAGTCTCTAGACACACTGCGGCAGACAGGAGCAGGCGGTGAGGGGGGGAGGGGTCTCCAAGCTCCCAAACTCACACCCCAAGCCACCCCACCTAGGGGTGCAAGTTCCCGCCCAACCCACCCAGGGCTTGGATCGCAGCCCTGCACCCTCTGCACCCTCGCCGCCCGAGAGTCTGCAAACCCCGACTCCGGGCTCAGGCAGCGACCAAATGACACTTGAGAGTGAGAGCAGAATCACATGACAGTCTGGGCCACACGCACTTTCTCCCACATGCACAGCCCACACCCCCTGCGCCTCGCCGCGGACCCTGCTAGGCACTCCGGCGGCCGCTGCTGCGGCACGGGGCGGGGGCGGGAGCGGAGGCGGGGCGGGGGAGGGGCGGGAGGTCTGGCAGTTGCTGCCAAGGTGGGGGAAGCGGTGACGGTTGGGAGCAGGCCGGTTCGACCCGGCGGGCGGTTGGGTGTTTACCTTGATGCACCGCGACGCTGCAGCCGTGCCCGTCGCAATAAACCAGAGGGTTCTCGGCCCAGCCTCTCTCGTCTGAGCAAACGCAACAGCCTCCAATCATCTCCTTCATACTATGGGAGACCTCGTCCTCCAGTGACACGGGCCGGTCGCTAGAGACCATCTAAGAGGGAGTTGGGGGGGACCATTAAAAAACACAAGCAAGCCAATGAGTGCTTCCCCCCGCACTGCCCTCCGCTCCCCACGTTCTCCCCGGCTCCCCCACCCGCCCGCCCGCCCGCCGGCCGCTCGGCCGCTCGCTCACTCGGGCTTTGCCGCTCAGTCACTCACGTTCCGCACAGGAGTCAGGAGCCATGTCCTTGCTGACTCCCCCCACCTCCCCTCCACCGCCTCCTCCGCCTCCTCCGCCTCCTCCGCCTCCTCCTCTTCGGCGTCTTCCCTCCCCACCTCCACCCGGCCGCTAACGCTGGCGCCCGAAGAGGGCACACATAATCAAGTAGGCCTCCGCACAGGCGCACTGGGGGGGCTCCCGCTGGGCCTGGGGCAGCGAGGGAGGGGAAAAGGGCTGCGCTTCCTCCTCCAAGCGTCACTCGGCGTGCGCGCCCGCCCCGCGGCCGGCGTGAGGGAGGCGGCCGGGAGAGGCGAGGCCTGCGTGCGCGCCGCCGCGTCTGGCCGCCGGGACCCGCCCCTCTCGGGCCTGTACCCCTCCCGCACGCTTCTGGCCGCCGCAGCCGAGGTGTGCCTGGGGTGGGGGCGCGAGGAGCAAGCGGCGCGCCGAGGCCGGAACGAGTCAACGGGAGGGCGCGGGGACGCGCACGCGGGGGCGGGGACGTTGAGGCCGCCCTCTGCAGCACCAGTCTCGCGGGCTGCGTGTGTGCGTCGGGGAGAGACGCTGTGCAGGGAGGAGACGCCGACGGGAGGCGGATGCTGAGGGCCGGCAGGGGGTTTTGTTAGAGTACCTCGGGGGAACTCCTGGGGGCATTTCCCTTCGCTGGGAACCTACCTGACGGCCTTTTCCTGGAGAACTGGCTGGTGGTAACAATGGTTGGGAGAATATGCCAGCTTCCGTGAAGGGTGTAATGAAGCATGGCTTCCTGCAGTTGGCCGCGCTAACTTAGTACTGCCGCAGCCTCTCCACCCATTAAATTCACATCCTGGATTCTTCCCAAAGTTCACCCAGTGGAAGTGTTACCAGATATGCCCCTCATTTACACACCACATTGGCCCCAGTGACAGATAAAGAGCATCACAGGTCAAATACATATGTTTGGGTTATATTCCTAGAGGGAACCAAGACCACTCTTGAGTTTGCTGTATAGGAATACAAATGGTTATCAGGAATTACTGTCATCTGAAAAATACAGTTATACAATACTAGATGAAGGAACCCAAGTTCTCCTAGTCTGTCACCAAAAGATAATTAACACCATAAGATAGAGTCCAGTTTTGATTGATCAGACTCTTCTCCAAATTTACTCTTGGAAATGTGAGGTAATTTAAGTGGCAGAAAGATGGGAGCTCCCTTCTCACAAACAGAAAATGGATTAGGCCTATCTGCATAGATTAATTAGCTGGATTCTGTGCAATTTTTATGCTGTAAAATCTTCCTGTCACCTTTTTTTCCTTTGAGATCCGCGTAAACCCACTTTTGATTTTAAGCAAAAAAACGTCTATTATAAAAGTTTAGCATGAAATAGGAATTACAGACAGATTGTTTAGATGACAGTTACAAGGCAAATTCGTGGTTAATAACTTGCAGGTACAAAATGGTTTCTCAGGAATTAGCAATATAATGTGATGATCTGGAAAATGCACTTATACAATGCTAAAGGACGGAGGAAGTAAGTTCTCCTAGTCAGTCACCAGAAAATAATATAATGGTTTAAGCTTTAAAAGCATGACAAACATTCTCATTAAAAAAAGAAAGAAAGAAAGAGAAAGAAAGGAAAGAAAGAAAGAAAGAAAGAAAGAAAAGAAAGAAAAGAAAAGAAAACAGCTATTTTTTTCTACTTCAAATTAATTGCTGGGAATCTCTTTAAGAAAGATAAGAGATACAATCTAATGCAAGCATGTATTTGCAAGTATATTCAAATGTTTAAAAAACAAGTGAGATATCCATAGTACTAGAAATCTACCAAAGCTTACCATAGAGAGAAAATTATATACTAAAGAGATACACAGGGATAGGGGTAAAGAAAAAGACACAAATATTTAACTTATTAATATATTTAGAAAAGGCGACTACGGGATTACATATATGTGTACATATATATATTAAATGTAAGGTTTTAGGAGGAATATGGAAACAATGAATTCATGGGCCTGTGATAATTATGTTCTCAAAAAGTATTTACAATTTATGATTCTAAAATGTTCTTCAAAAAAAAGTGTACTGGTTTATGTATCTTTACAATATATTTAATCTTTACCCTATACAAAGGATACCAGTTTAATATACAATTCCTGCTCCAACTCCAATGCAAAGTAATTTTGAGTTAAAATCAATGTGAAATTTCCCTTTCCAACACTGCAATCAAGCCTTATTGCACTAAATTATTTAAAAATACATTCATTTTATTTTTAATGCATTGGAGCTTAATTCTTGGGATGGAATTAATTTGTATGTAAAGGATAAATACCTCACCTTTTCTGTAATACATAATAAAAGAAATGTAGGTTAAACACTTGCTCTTTCAAATCAAAAACAAAAAAAAACAAAATTTGTCATTCATTAGAGTTTTTTGAAATTTTTAAAAATAGGGGAAATATAATGTTTTATAGCAGGTCTGTATATAAATATCAATATCTCAAATAGTAACCTGACTAAAGATGTGCATAAATGTTAACAAAATATAATTCAAATTACATAAAACTGATTTGAACATGTTGAGTTTTGAAAATGATAAAAATATAATGAGTATAAATAAGTCATTTTCATTTTAACTCAGATACTAGACATTGAACTTTTATGTTATATATCTGAAGAACAATACTTAATATATTTCTATAAAATAGTAACTGAAAAGGAAGACAGAATAAAACATTCAAATATACAGAGAATTATTTATTCATTCAGTAAATATTTATTGAACATTTACTGTGTGCCAGGGACAGTTTTAGATGCAGGAAATATACCAATGAGAAAGTTGTATTTTTCCTTTATGAGATACATAAAATATATTCATATATGTATATGGCACTTGGCTGAATATACTAATTCTCATGTCTCAGAATGTATAAGATTTACAATTAAATGGTCAGAATTATTAAAGTTCAAGTAAACTTTTACACATACATACTTCTGAAAAAGTAATAAATTACCATGGGATTTATAGAAAAACTTCATAGAAAAGGACAATTTCAGTCTTAAAATAATATTACCCTTTAAATCTAATTCCCAAAATATCCAAGTATATCTAGTACCTGTAGAATTAAACAAAAGCCTATTGTGTCTATTATTCTTCTCCACATAACAGCCACTAAGAGTACTGGCTCATCTATTTCTCTAAACTAATCATCTGAGGCAAACCACAAAAAACTCAACCAAAGTATTTTATGATGTAACCTCTAACCCTACTATAATGGGAAAATGTATTTTCACTCTGTGGGTAATATATCTTCTTATAATTTTCTTTAGTCTGTACCCTAGGCACCAAATTTTTGAATTTGCTTTTCCATAATCATTTACCTAAGTAGAAACTGTGAAAGAAATATTTAAAACCACATTTATTCAGAGGTTAGCATTTCTCATATTTATCTCCTTTTCAAATTGAAGTTTTATTTGCCTTTTATTTATGCATATTATGTCTATTAGACCCAACATTAAAGACTCATATATGTCTATGAGGTATAGAACCTGAGATGTAGTTTTATAATGCTAAGACTATATACCCTTTTCTTAGCTTAGATTATTGACTTTCACAAAGTGTTTAAAATTCTATATTAGCTCTGATGCTAAATTAAAAAAAAATAGAAGTCATGTATTACTAAACTTTATTGGAAACTATAATCTTGTATCTAAATAAATTAGTTGGAAAACTCAAAAAGGCAATTTCTTATTATCTGTACACTTTCAGATATATCCTCTTTAATATAAAATTTTATATATTTGAATAAAATTTTGTTTTGCTCATTTGGTACCCAAGAGTTCCTATCTTTTATGTGAAAACTTTTATCATAAGCCATATATATTTATGCTAGTTTGATTAAAATACTATAGTATTTCTGAAACTAATTCTGTTATTTACCTTACCATGAGTTTTGTATCTTTATACGTACAAACCTACACGTGGCCCCTATAAGTATCATGCATTTGAGATTTCATTCAAGAGCATTCATTTCAATTATGTTTTCAGTTGAGATTCTACTAATGGTTTTTGCAAGATTCCATTTAATGAAGCATGTTAGTCTTACTAGGTGATTTTTTTTTAACTTGTGATAGTGCTTAACAAGTATCTTGTACATAGTAGGATCACAATTAACATTTGTTTAATGTACAATATTGATGTTTAAAAGCTAATTGCAGCCTTGGGCTTTATCCTTCGGAATAGAGTAAAGCAAGTCTTTATTTTACATGTATAATTGAACTAAAATTTCTAAGTAATAACCAACAGAAATTTTCAGTTAAATTGGCTTCTTTAAAGATTTTCAATAATTGAAATTAATATGCCTGAAGAGTTTTTATTTACCAGATATTTTAGAATTCTCTACATTTGACTAGCCCTAAAATGCTACCACCTTTTTATATAAAAGTCACCATTGTATTATAAAAGATTCTTAGAATCAATCATATTTAATATTATTGTTAGATATACTTAATTTTTGCAGTTTAATTAATTTTCAAACCTAAATTGTATGTAATCTAAATTTAAAAATATTTTTAGGAATCAAGGTATAATATTTACTTTAAAAGGTCTGGCTTAGTCAATTTTATGTTTGGCTTGGGAACTAGCTATTCCTTTTGGTATAAAATTGATATTAATTGGTATACTTACATTTTTGGGGTACAATACCATATAATTACCAATAAAAAACAATATCTTGAAAATACTTTTAGCTCTTCTAGGTGTTACATAAACGCCATTTAATACTTGAAATGTTTTTTTCTATGATGCAATAATACTTAAATGTGATACACTTTGACTTTTTAGAATATTGTCAATATAATGTAAGAGTAGGACTATAAAGTCCATGGTCCACTTTTTATTGACACTGAAGATTTGCATCCCTATTATAATTAAAGTGTAATTAAAATGACATATTTAGGTGTCTGTTTATAGAATACAATAAGATTACCATTCTGGACTTGAAAGAGGAAAATCAGTTTTTGAAATGGAAAAGAACCTTAAAATAAATTAAACATTTCCAAAAATGAAAAGAAAAAAAAAAGAGAAAGGAAGAAGAAGAAATTAAACTGAATTGCTAAATACTATTTGGACCAAAGGAAGTCACTTTTTAAGATTTAAATGTTTTCCTCTTCAAAAGGGGCCACTGCTTACCAAATCCAGAAACAAGTCCAAGAATATGTTAATTAAGTTCATTGTGTCCTAGAAAGAATGAGTTTGACAAATTCATTTTTTATTCCTTCAATTAACA